TGATTTGAAGACATTTAAAAATATTCTATTCCTCATAGGTCCATGTAAAGTTAAAGTTTTGAAATTTATTTTCAATGTGTTCATGTTTATACATTTTGGATTGGTATACGATACCCGAACCTTCATACATCCTTTTTATTCCAACATGCTAAAAAAAAAAATTTTGAAATCTTTTTATGTGATAAAAATATCAAGAAAGAGCTCTCGGGTTGATCTATGAGGATGTTGATATTACTTGGTGAATATTTGCTTTTAAAGGCAAAATTTCAGTATCAAACTTTTTGGTAATAAAAACATCGCTATCATTGAACATCAAACATAATCTAAAAGAGCACTTCTGGTCCCAGATTCTGTCTGCTTATAAATTATATCTTTGCACAATGTCATGCTTTTGTGAAAATGTAGATGGCGTCTTTTCACTAAATCCGTTTTATGTGTACCAATTGATTTTTAGACTGTGAAAACATGGTTTATGAGTTGAAATTGACTTTGAACTAGAATTCAGCAACTGCGAGTACTCTAAGATCGGTACTTTTCAAACAACATCTCCTTATATATATATTAATATGTCATATATCAAAACTTCTATTTACACCGCTTTTTTCAGAATCGACTCTGAAATACGCGCAATGATGTTTAAAATCTGGTCCCAGATTCTGTTTAAAAATAACAGCTCAGTGTTATTTATTGTAAATGGAAAAAATATGTATAGAGATTTTTAGCTATGCTGATTTTCAGTCTAGTATGTCTATAGTTAGTAACATCTAAATCTGACCTAAAATGCTATGCTTAACAGATGGTTATTTGCTGCTTCGGTGTGTAATTGCTTAAAACTCATGAATTCTTTTTCTCACTGTATATTCTACAACACTATAAAACAAGAGAGACAAAGGTCTACAAGTGATATCGGTTTCGAGATAGACTAAACGTATGTATACTGATATTATTTCTCGTAACGTTTTGCATTGTAACCTGATAAAAACAGGGATATCATTATTTGTAGTTAAGCTAAATTTTGTGTTGCTGCGAAAAATGTCTAAAATCGTATCTCAAAGACTTTATATACAAATGTTGAGAGATACATATTGCATTGATGCAAACTCTTGGATTATAACATATATAAAGCCAGTCTAAGTGGATAGTGAAGAGATATGAACGATACGGGAAATATATACACAAATCTTCATCTAATGAACTCTCTTTGATGCTGGCGTAAGAATACAGATAAAACTATAAGTCCGGTAAAGGCGTGTGTATGTTTGTGTCTACGTCCAAGATTTATATCTTGATTTTTCTCGCCAAAAGAATACGATAAATGTCTGTTCTTATTCGCGATTTTATAAAGATATGAAGATGTGGTATAAATGCCAAGGAGACAACTATCTATCAGTGACCAAATGACGTAGAAGTTAGCAACTATAAGTTACTATATTACCTTCAACAATGAGCAAAACCCATACATAAGTCGATACCATGAAAATAACGAAAAAAGAAAGATAAAACAACAGGGTACACCACTACTAAAATACTAAAGACTGAGTCGCACGAACCCCACCAAAAAACGTGGATGATTCCAGGTGCTCCAGATGAGTAGGCTGATCCTGTTCCACAAGTGGCACCCGTCGTGTTACACATTTGTTGATAAGTCTCATTCGTGATATCACATTTGAGAAAAAAGGACGGAGTTGTTACTACAATAATTGGAACATATCTATGACACATATATTCCATAACCATGTCAACCTAATCATGATGCGTATTTAGTTTCCCTCTGTATAGATTAGAGAGATGTAGTATTCAACAATGACAAAAAACCCATATCGTATATACGGCTACGAAAGGCACCGACATAAAAAATGTAAAACAATTCAAACGAGAAAACTATTTTTGTTTAACTTATCTCTATCTGTTCCAATTTGATTTTATAGATGCGATTGATATAGTGACTAAACTTTAAGGTTCATTTCATTTTTCCTGAAAAGCTCCCATATAGAGGAACAAATTGACAAGGAAAGGAGTATGATAAAATTCATACATTGATAATTCATGAGATTTTTTGCCTTCCTCACTTCATCCGTTTATGTGTATGTGTTACAATTTACTACGGATACTTTCCATTTGTCGTAACCACAATGTAGTCCTTTTTTCCTTGTTTATGACGTCACCGAATTCGTGCGACTAAAAACTTTCAAATTTTAACATATCGTGAGGAACACAAATGGTGCTAATAGGGAAACAGAAACATTTCGCGTCAACGAACATATTTAGTTTCCCTCTGTATAGATTAGAGAGATGTAGTATTCAACAATGACAAAAAACCCATATCGTATATACGGCTACGAAAGGCACCGACATAAAAAATGTAAAACAATTCAAACGAGAAAACTAACGGCCTAATTTTAAATAATAAAACAATTTACGAAAAAAAAAACAGAATGACAGAAATGAACCAACGACAACCACTATACTACAGGCTCCCGACTTGGGACAGGCACTGAAAGAATGTAGCGGGGTTAAACATGTTTATGAGCATTTTACCCTCTCCTAACCTGGGACATTTGTGTTACAGAAAAGTCTGTTTTGTTAGCAGCTGTTTATCTTTTCGTTTTTGTTTTTTTTTTCACTGTTTTGTCTGTCTTTCTTGGACTAATGGTTCAGTTTCATTATCTATTTGGTATCGTCATTCTTCTGTTTAAAATATTTTCAGACCGTTTCTCAGATTCTTGTACATTTTCATAATTGGTTAACAAACAGACTTCCTTTGAAATTAATTGCAGTTGAAAATGTTTACCGTTAATGATAATATGCACACACAAAAACTGAAGTTAAATCTACTGCACTATCCCTATTAATATTATTCTCCATGCAGATTCGTCAAACATGAAATGCTTTACACAGTGTGTTTTTCTTCGATTTGTTTTACTTTTAATTTCCTTTAACACTTTAACGCATAATCGAAATCATTAACATTTTTATATCTATGTGTTCATTTTATTGAATATCATATATCAATATATGTATACTTGATTATTGTTTTGTATTGTTGTTTAAATAATGTCTTATATTATAATATGCTTTTTGTGAGCTGATTTAATGGAAATAAAACTTCTTCTTCTTTTAAAATTAGGCATCTTTGTTTTCGTGAATTTTTTTGTTTTTTGTTCACAACTTCTGTATGTACTGTCTTCGCTCATTTCGTCTTCTTTTACCTTTTTAAGACAATGACACGCAGGTGCTCATTCCGCTTCAAATAATCTAATAATCTGAGGAGGGTATTTGAAGTTAGCTGTCTGGTCAACTTATTCATCAAATCTCCAATAATAAAATGAAAGGCTGGTTCCGGCAAGGATTTTTTTAAATATTATTTCACTATCACAAAATCAAAATTTGAAAATATTATGTTACATGAGAAAAAAAAAACGAAAATTTTACAAAAGTAATCTTAATATATCAAATGGCAGATAATAATTATGCTATTATGGCCCTGAAAATCTCAGGAAAAAACTTAGATCACTATCATAAGGGATAAAAAAAAGTCAAAAGTACAGTAATTTATTATTAAGGGTCTCGTGAACTGGTAAAAATTAGTAGCCCCAATTGATTTGTCAAAAATCTGTAAAAATAGTAAAATGAAATCTTATCAAATATAGGGGATCTAAAATGTGACAAGATGGATTATAGAGATTTGTAAAGGAATTAAGAAGTAAATTATATATATTATGAGATTAAAACTGATAATATTTCTTTATTGTACTATCTCTTTATGCTGGTTTATTGTGGATAATATTATACACACAGGTATCATGGCGATTATAAAAATTTCACTTTGTTTATTACAGAAACATACATAGTACTATATATATGTCCTTGTTTGTTGGTATACAATATTTTATGGTATAATTAATTTTAATAAACAAGACTATATTTCATGTCAATTGTTCAAAACTTACATTTATTGATGAATACTAAAAACAAGTAATTTAACATAAATAGAAAAAACAATGTTCCTATAAAAAGCCATAACAAAGTATATTTCAGTTCAAAACATGAAAAAAGAGATATTTTCCTTAACATAAAATATGAAACTTTCTTCATTATATCCCATCCGATCGTGCCTTCACTTAATTAATTCATAATAAACACATATTTTCACATGTTCTTAATGCAATTATGTGATAAATTTCAATTTAGCCAAGGGATCAATTCACTTCATTTATTTAACTTGTTAAAAATCATGTTTTCACATCATTATGGGTATATAAATATGGAAGGAAATATCAAATTTGAAATACATATTTACCCTATGGGCAAAATTGCTTGTAAAAGGTGGGATTAAAATACAATAGGGATATGAAAACTTTATTCTGTTAATGAGTTAACTGGTCTTAAAAGGCCATTGATGTATTGTTGGGAGGATTAATTATTACAAAAGATTCAATTGCTTGTATTGATAATTACAAGTGAAAACAACCCGTTAAAGTATTAGTAAACCTATATGCAATTAAAACAGAACTGTCAATTCAACAATATATAAAATGGTCAATGGTAGTTTTGGTCAATCATAACTTGACTGACCAATGAGTTGAAAGCTCACTATCAGCAAAGTTTATAATCAACTGGGAATAGCACTGATAAAACCAATCCTTCAAATCAGCGTCGGTCCATATTTTGGGACCATTAAAAAATCAAATTTGGGAATAATTTTCATTTCAACACCTAACATTACACGTGTCAGCATTTATCAACAGAGTCATAAAGTAATAATTTGTTTATGTTATTTACTGGTTTTTACATCATTCAAAAAAGGGACGGGAATCGTTTAGGTGCGAAGTGCGGAATAATAGAGAAAAACAGTAGGGAAATTATCTGTTTATTTTCACGGTTGGAAAGAACTGTATTTCACCAAGAGCTACAGAAACGTGTAACAAACAAACTATTATTCCTACAAGTGAAGCTTTTTGATAGTCCTCAGTCAGTAGATGTTGTCATAAGCTTACAGGATGTTGGAGGTTGAGAATTTCAGGAGAATGGTACATCCTTCTGGTAAGTTGATCCTTATTATTTTATTTCTTGTTACTTTTTATACAAATACATATTCATTTATTTTTGCACAATTTCACTTATTTAGTTACTTATTCATTTCTAGGACTAATTCATGTATTAGTTCTAGTCCATTTATATCAATTATATATCGTTAAAATAATTATTACAGTAAAAGTCATTTGAATATGTTCAGAGTAGTTATAGATTCAAATCAAAAAAATATTGAAATAGTTTATTTTGCTTATTATTATTACTTAAAGTGGAAATATAATACTTTTTTTATCATTGCATTAATAATAGTATTTATACTCTTAATCTACAAATATGTTTTATTTCCAAAGAGAGACAATTGTCACTTCAATTAATTATAATCGGGAAATTTATTGTATTTTGCACTAAAACACTCAATACAATTTTAATAAATCTTATTAATACTCTTAAAATACTTTATTAAATTAATGAGAAGTCAGAAGTTATTGGTGAAAAAGTATTGTCAAGATTCTGAACAGATTACATAATTTTGCAAAAATTAACATATTTTTGTATTCGAAAATTGTTATATTTTTGCTCGGAGACGAGAGATTTTCATTTGCATGTCTCCTTTCAAACAGATAAGTCAAGACGACACAGATAATTTAAATACATTTGATCAATGGGTGAGGAGACAAAAGTTGACAAGATTTCTCACTATTTAGTGAATGAACACCCTCTCTGTCTCACTATAAATGGACGATCGGATATAAAACAAATAAAATTTGAATGCTGGTAGTTTAACAACGGTATTTTCTAAAAAGCTGAAATTTAGTGACATGTAAATTCCATCAGGACATATCATGGATGTAGGAGCCAAAAAAATGAAAATATCAACCAAAAGAACGCAACGAGATACAATTATTGTTTAATATACATATAATTGTATTAAGCTTTAATTTCTCAATAAAAGAGTTTCGATAATAATTTTAATAAATAAGTCTTGCAACAAAACTAAAGTCTAAACAAATGATTTGTCTAACTTCTACAAATTCAGGAATATTTAACGACCTCTCGGATTTATCTACTTTTTACATAAAAAATTATGTGAACAAATAATAGACTAAACAAAATACAAATAAAAATTTAGATAAATGAAGTAGAATTACTTCGTAAATGTGAAATGCCAAATATATTAAAAGTCATTGTTGAAATTTCAGGCCTATTTCATGGAAGTTCTGACTTTAACCATGACCAGAGCGGTGGGATGTTATATTACCCTACAGCCACAAGACCAGACAAAAGCAACCCATTCATAGACTGGGGAAAGAGAACTGTATCACCACCAGCAATGTCAGTGGAGTCTAAATCTGATGGCGAGGATGAAGACGAAGGTAGGAGTCTATTACATTTAATAAATTGCCGTTTTTAATTTTCATTTCATTTATTAATTTATCAGAATTAATATGTTATTTATTATAATGAAATATTTGCCGTTTTTTCTCATTATTTATTTAATTATATAAAAATGAAATATAAATAGAATAATTTTATTTTTTAATCTATAATTTACAAGGAATTGTATTTTTAACATACACTCCTTGATATTTTATTACAACCAATATGTCTGAATAATTGAGCTACAAGACAAAACGACTGGCCTAGAGCGGAAATTCCAACCATATGTGTCACTATCTAATGTGGACCTTTTCATTATTTTTTGTAAGACAACTTGAGAAGACAATTCTTTAATCTTTATTGCTGTTTGTTAATCTATTTGCATTACAGAGCAAACGTTGCTCAGAAACAAAATAACCAAACGATAATTTTTCCCCTAATACAACAAATCTGAAAACGTGTTGACATAAGAACCATTATCATCGCTCTCAGTGGCGACTACTGGACACAAATAGATTAAATAGGACATGCATTGTTGTCTATGGCCGATGTTAACACCAGTAAATCTCCTTAAAAACTTTATAAAAAAAAACAGTATAATTTTCCCATAAAAAAGATTGGATTTAAAAGAAATGAAATCTAGAAATGAACACGCATAAAATTATTATAAAAAAATTAATTTTGAATTCACCGGTAAAAAAGAAGATAAATGATTCAATGAGTTTGAATACGAATCAGTCTCTTTCGAAATAGAATAAATATTATTACAAGGGAAAAATATAAGCATTATGTAATCTTAAAATTCATATAGAAGAAGAAGAAGATGTTTTATTTCCATATGTTTTATTTCCATATATATTTCCTAATAATTATATAAATATTTTTGTCTTCTGTCTACATTTAGTATTGAAATTAAGTAATTTTTTATTACTCAAATTTGTTTGATTCGTTTGATTCTTTTTCCGACTACCCATTCAATGTAATTTTTAAAATAACAACAATCAGATACCAAAGCGGGAATTTCATCACGAACATCATTACTGGTACATGTAGTATATTTTCTTTCATTTCATATAGTAAAGTGAAATATCTACTGATCTATCTCTACTGACAGCCCGTAAGTCGATATTCATATGCTAATGATTACATAAGGAATGCTGAAATCTTTTATAGTGAACAAGTAATTTTTAAATCAAAAATAACTTTTGACGAAAAGTGAGTATCCCCTAACTTTCCCGCCAAAAGGAGAAACTTATTTTAGATCATTATACATGTATATGCAAATTTTGTTCTGGCGTTTTGTTTGTACATGTATACTAATACATATGAATGCTTCTTTTATTTTAGAATACCGACCATTTACACCTCCACCACCAAGAGAGAGACTGAGTTATACCAGATATCAATTAGAATTACTGAATGGTATCTACGCAAAAGTTCGCTACCCTAACAGCTCGCAGAAACAACTAATAGCAAAACGTGTGGGCATCACAAGAGAACAAGTGAAGGTAATTTATACTGTCAAGTGTTTATCTTGTGCAATGACTGCACTTTATTTGAGTGTTACACACTTGTATTATGTCTGCAGAGTTTTGTTCATTTTGAATTGATGATGTATAAAAAAAAAGCTAAACATACTGTAAACCTTGGATACTGTACTGAACGTCTCTATCCGATGTAAGCACAGTATATGAAGAAAATAATCGAAATCGCTAGGTAGCCCGATATAGTTCTAGTCCCCTTCCCTCAATATTTAGGAGAAAGGCGAAAGATACCAAAGGGATATTCATACTCATAAATCGAAGGAAAAAAAAGGCAATGCAATGGCAAAAATCGAAAAATTTGAAAAGACATTGCTTAGTATAAATTTATAGGGAAAATCGGTTTTCAAAAACTGGTAATTGCAGAAATCTCAAATTATTTGTAATGTCAACCCTTTCCGTTAATCCAAAACTGAAGCTTCAACTTCTCTAGTACATTAATTTTCTTTCTTTTTTTCAATCATTGAACGTGTTTTTAAATTTTAACACCGGAAAGTATATCCAAACATGATTAACTTTACTTTTTAAGATGAAGAATTTCTTGTCTGTTCAGATAGTTTTCTTATTAAGACAAACTTAGAATTATCCACGTGAATACAAAGGGTTATTTGGTGGGTAAATAGTAATTATGAAGCAACCGAAGATCTCAAGTTTAACACAAAAATAAACCCCTTAAGCATTCTCTTCTTTTAAAATAAATGTTGAATTTATTTCAGATTTGGTTTCAAAATCGCAGACGAAAGGATGTTGTAGGCAAAGACAAAAAGTCTGACGACGAAGATAAAAATAAAAATAAAAGTGAAGATGAAAGTAGTGATATAAGTAAAAGTTTAAGTGACTGTGAAAGTATTTCTGAGGATGACCCATCGACAAAAGAAGGAAACATGGTTCCAACAGTTGTGATGAAAGGTATTATCAGTGAATTAAAACGTTACGAAAAAGAAGCGCCTAAAGGAAAAAAGAAGAAAAAATCTAAATCTATGAAACAGAAACAGATAAAGAAAAATATATCCAGTGCTCTTTTACATAGTTCATACGATATGATCTCTCCTCCGAATCAAGTTATTCCAAACTCACACGGTGTTATGAACAGAACCACGAATAAACTTAACCATTCACTAAGATCATCAGCATTCGAATCTCCGAAAGAATCACAGGCATTAAAATATCCAACATCAGTTTCAACTTTCTTGGAACATTACAGTTTGCATGGAAATCCGAACCAACCACCATTTCCAATGTCAGGTCATTCTGGCCTTGGACCAGTTCATTCTGGATGTGACTTACCAGTGTTATCAGACTTACTCTCGTTTAAGACGGGACTTGAATCTCGAACAGATGATACTCTTATTAACTCAAATACTTCGCCACGGTCGGGACAGCCAAACCGACCAATATCTTGTGACAATCAGGGATCTCTAACTATGCCATATGGCTTGAATCGTTTCTATCCATTGCCATTCATTGCCGAACAGCCGTTACTCCTTTCAACTCTCAGGCATTCTGAATCATTTAGACACCACATGTTACCGCAATCGGGATACCCAGAAGAACAAAGTGTATTCCAAGCTCTGCCAATATCAGCTTTAAATAACCCATATTATGCCCCTACCTCATCAGTCGCATGGTCTAATCAGATGCAACCCTCTAACTTTACTCAGTTATAACAGTCAGCAAAAATTAAATTATAATTTATAGATAACATACATTATTATTTTGTAAAATAGTATTTTGTACATTTCGTTACAGATTGTTGAAGATTATAAATATTAACATATTGAACACGTGTTTGTCTCACTTTCATCAAACCTTATCCTTATTTATAGTACTTCCATGATCTTATCAACAGTCATATATTTGTATGATCAGTTACCCCGACCTCCCCCTAAAAAAACCATCAAAAAACGAAAAAACACACACACAAAAAGCTACTCTAGAACAGCCCGGTATAGGAAATTCATGATCCCTTTTTGTGAATAAGGTTCAAGAAACGGTTTTATTGCATTTTAGGTACAAACGTGTAAACAATCTGATTGAAATGCAGATCCTGTGTCAAAGCTTTGCTTACAAGGATCTGACAACACTCTGTTTTACTTTCTGTTCTTTAATTATTATATCCACCAATGAAATAGTCTTCAAATTTTTGAAGCTGTGTATTAATCCGACAAAGCCAGAGGATCCCGAAAGTTCTTTAAAACAGAAAGTAGAATGGAGCGTTTTCAGATCCAAGATCTGAATTTTAATAAGATTGAATTGTAGATAACATAACATTTTCATGTTAGATAACCATTTTCGATATTAGACACAGTTGCCATGCGAACGGCCGGTACATGCTGCAAGCTATCTACTTCATTCATTCGATCCATGAATAGCTATCTCAGTCTTGATATGTTTTTTTTAAACGTTTTGAACACATCAAGACACCATCCCTAATCTACCGATTTCATTTTGAATAAAAAAAAGTTTGTGGTATGTGTGTGGTCATTATTAATAACTGAAATGCGCACGACAAAAAAATCCATATTTAGTGTAAAAAATCAGATTTCGATTAAAACTACTCTTAAAATATATTAGTAATTTTTATCTTGTGTAGACGGATTTTCGAGAAATCGCAATTTAAAGGGGAAAATGCACATTTTCGCCGCTTTTTTTCGAAAGTTTTGTACATTTATAGAATTATTTTACAAAGTGGTAAGTTCAGTAAGGGTCATATTCGGTTCCGAATATTAAGTCCATTGTTTGAAGATAAACAAAATGTTTCAAGTCGACGAAAAGACACGTAATAAAGTGACAGCTTTTCTTATAAGGCATCTGGATTTCTACCAAATTAAGGTCTTGGAAACATACAACAAACATGTCGACGTGTGCGCTCTGTGTTCCCAGTCCAAAGACTCACTGGAAATTTACCTACTTTCTTGAAATTTCATGGAAAATCAAAAAGTGTGATGCACGAAAAAAGAACGTTTATACATAAATTTTCAACAAAAAGGTATATTTCCTACCTATGGATCATTGTTACATTAGTCAATAAATCCTCACTCAAGGCCAAATCGAAGCTATTCCGGGGGGTACTCCTCTTTAATTGACTGTTGTTTGGAAGTTTAATAGCTACATATGTCATCTTTTTATATTCAAATGCAGTTACGTACATTTGTACAATATTTTCCCAAAATACGAAATACAAACCAATTACGTACATTTTGCCTTAATGTGCATCGTGGTCATCAAATTCACTGTTATACTTTTAATGAAGTATATTTATTTTATAAAAAAGAATTAAATTTATGATCGTTGTGTTTCTTTTATACTGAAATTAGCGTGTTTGTACATTAAACTTTGTCTTCAATCTCATATACAAGGATTTTCCAGTCATTTAACTTTGTTCTCGTTCTGAATATAAATATATAAAACTAAGGTGATGTGATAAGATTGCCAATGACACAACTACACACCAGAGGTCAAATGAAGTGGATGTAAGTAATTATAGGCCACCACCCGGCCTTCAATTTTGAGAAAAACCCATACCGTATAGTCGGCTATAAAAGACCAAGTTCTAAAAAATGTGAAACAATTCAAACAAGAAAACCAAATGACTGATTTATAATAAAACAACAAACGAAAACCAACTATGGAAGACACCAACCATCGACATCCAATGAATAATATGCTCCTGACTTGGGACAAGAATGTGGCTGGGTTTAACACGTTAATGAGCGTCAACCCCTACTATAACACTGGTGTATCAGCAATACATAAAACAAACTGTTAAAAATCAATTGGAAAGGGTTTGATTCATTTGATCGTCACGAAGCACAATCAAGGGGCTCCCAAGAGCCTGAATCGCTTACCTTGAACAAAAAAACATTTTGGTATTTATATTTACCTTTTTAAAAGCAGTTACTACAATAACGGGTCAATTGACGATTTCGTCAATGTTGACTTATTTGTTGATCTTATTCTACTGAATATGTTTATGTAGACCTTTTTTGCTGAATATGGTTGTTATTTAAAGTTTCTATCTATTATGGTTTCTGCAAAAAAGGATAAAATGGTAAAATCACCATTAAAAATCCATGTGGACTTAGTTGTAAATCCTTCTGTTCTGGTCATTTTTACTATTTCAAATTTCTCTCTATCTTCATTGTTTTCAAGATAATAACTAGAAACTGCAAAAAAAATCCCAAAAATGAAATTTCAGAGGCATTAACTTAAGTCCAAAATAGGGTTACCTGATTTTTCCTGGAAATTCCATAGGAATGTGCATGTCCCAAGTCAGGAGCCTGTAATTCAGTGGTTGTCGTTTGTTGCTGTATATCATATTTGTTTTTTTACATTGAAATCAGGTAGTTAGTTTTCTCATTTTATTTATTTTACATTTGTCATTTCGGGGCCTTTTATAACTAACTATGCGGTATGAGTTTTGCTCATTGTTGAAGGCCGTACGGTGACCTATAGTTGTTAGTTTCTAAGTCATTTTGATCTCTGGTGGACAGTTGACTAATTGGCTATCATGCGAAATCTTCTTATTTTCATCTTGACCTGCTGGTCATTTTTAGCCTGACAGATTTACTCTTACTGTAATATTTTTTTCTTCAAATAAACTAAAAACTGAATTTGGCTAAAATTGACATTTCAGGGGCAATAACTTCAAAATAGGCGTGTCTGATTTTTCTGAAAATTTATAGGCGATAGACCTTGGCCTGCTGATCAATTTCACGTTTTCAATTTTGCTCAAACTGTTTTTCAGAGATAAACCAAAACTGCATTCTAACCATATGTTTGATTTTTAGAAACAGGGATCATGTTGATTGATCAAATTCCCGGATACAATTTTTAAACTAGATTCCCCAAAACACATGCAGGTAAAGTTTGGTAACCTTTGGCCCAATAGTTAAGAAGATTTTTTTTTAAAGTTTACGAAAGAAAGACGTTGGACGACGACGACAGAAACCAAGTGATGGCAAAAGCTTACATGACCTTTATATATAAACAACTTAATGTAACAGAAAGACAAAAGTACCGATCTAAGTGTACACGCAATAACTGAAAAATAGTTCAAAGCAAATTACAAATTATGAACAAAACACGTTATCTCAGACTTAAATATCAATCAGTACACATCCAATAGATTTAGTACAATTTTATTAAAAAATGAAAGTTATACTTGGCTTATCATTAATAATCCGTTAACAGTAAATTTACTGTTGGATAATAGTACAAATACGAGAGAAAGTGAGCTGTAGAAACTCTGGAAGTAATGTATTGCAAGTACTTCGAATGCATACACAAATAGAGTTCTTCTAAAGTTACAATACCAATCAATAAACTTTCAAATAAACATGATAAAAGTTATATGCAGATATTCTTTTTGGATACAATTCTGTTTTGCTTCGTTTTGTCAGTAAGGTATTTTCCTCCTGTTTCTGATTATGGTAAATTATCATGACCCAACCATACCAAGTATTTCCTCTGAATCAAATTATGGATGCGAAATATTGTTTTGAATTCATTTAGATAATGATAATTTGCAACATTATCTTCGTTAACTATATATCTTTTTGCTCAGCATATTTTGAATTCATGAGAAATTACAGGTAACTCCTGGTTATTCGTTTTTAAATTACTGGCAATATAAGTAGAGTACAGGACAAGGGAAAACAATGAAAACATGTTACATTAAAAACAAAACCAACAAGATGAAAACAACAATAAGGCATATCAAGGGTTTTAATCACACGTATGCATTCTACATGTACTAGTACATAAACATATATATGCATGAATATATCAAGGCAAAAAAAAATGAGAGACAGACGTTTGCGTCAACGCAATCTTGTTTATGAATGGAATTTAATTTGTTTTATCAACTGATATTTTCCCTCAACCAGCTGTATGGTGATCTGACCTGAAATAAACAAAATAAACAGACTAAAGATAGTCAAGACTACTAAAACGTTATGCATAATTATCATGCACATCATAAATATTTTTTAACCGCGTATTTTAGTTTTCTTTTGGTCGTGAATTTTTTAAATGGTAACGGAATTTTTGCATTTATTGTTCTATTCAACAAGCAAATATTCATACGTTTTATTATCAGTGGGTAAAACGACTGGCTGTGCAATCATTGCAGTAACACAACTGGTACCGAAATACTAGCCACCTGAGATCCCAGTCGAAATCATGGGTATAGATCAGTCATTGACTATCTAAGTCATGTTGAGATATCATACATGCCTGAGATATTGTCGGCACTTCGTCACGATTCAACGTGCCTGATAAAAGCGCCTTGCAATCAGTAAACATACATACGAAAAGGACTTTTTAAATGATTGCGCGGAACTAAGGCCATATGATCGTCAAGATACGACAGATACTTTCTATTTTCATATCTGACATGTTGTTTAGATTATAATTATATAGATCACTTTTTATATTTCCGTTACCAGCGGTATGTGCATAGTACCGAACAAAGTCATTGCTTGAAACACACTCAAGCTTAGAAGTAAATGGACTCATTACATTTTAAAAGTAAGCTTAAGGCTGCCTTCTTAATGCATGGTGCATGTGGCCATATGTAGTGCATTTCATTAGAACAATAAATGCAAATTAAAAATGCTATCTGCGTGTTCTCAAACAGATGTTTACCGTAATTAAGTGTTCTATTTATGGGACTAATTGTATAATTGTGTTAACATTATAGAAGACCTCATCAGCTCGAAATGTAACTCAAAATATAGACAATTAAATGTTAAGGAGGTCTTGAATCGGTTCGATAGCTTCAGACGTAATCGATCTTAACTTTGTTTTTAACTGTACCAAATCACTTCCGTACTTCGAAATTCATGACTCAAATAATTATTGAAAGTGTAATTGCATCACCATTCTTGCTATTTTATGCATGAAACATACAGAAGTAAGTTTGGAAGTTGTATGGAAAAGTTGGCAAATAATACACAAAGAGGTAAGTTTGGAAGTTGTATGGAAAAGTTGGCAAATAATACACAAAGAGGTAAGTTTGGAAGTTGTATGGACAAGTTGATAAATAATACAACTGTCCAAACTAGGGACTATATTTGTTAACTGTGGTCTAATTTGAATATTTTTTGTGAGCATCAAATATATTTTTTACCTTATAAATTTTAAATTATAAAGCTTTCAGTTCACCCTGTTTTTTGGTGGGGTTCGTGTTACTCAATCTTTAATTTACTAAGTAGTTTTTTGAAAACTTGTTCGTTGTCTCGTCGATTTGCATTTTATTTGCCATGACGTTTTTCTTCTTACAAGTTATTTTTTTTTACACATTTACAGCTTTATAACTAGCAGCATCGTGCCTAATTTATAGTTGACAAATTAACACTAGTATATAATTGCATGCATCCGGACAGGCATATCATAATAAATCATTCTTATAAAATTCTTGTATTTTTTTGCTTTTTGTGGATCATCATTAAAATTGACTTACCTTGAAGACGGTCTATTTAATATTCTCGAAACCGGTCGAGATTTATTTGATGATGATGGTCGGGACTCGTTTGACGAAGATGGGCGAGATTTGTTGGCGCCACTTGTAGGTCTTGTCCCTCGACCGGTTTGTCCAGGTTCAACCGGAGATGCCCCAAATATTTTCTCCAATCTTCTGACATACCTTTTTTGTCCTTCTAGCAATTCACTGTAGAAAACAACATGAAATGGGATGATTATACACTTCAATGTTTAAATTTTCAAATGACAATATTAGAAAGCATGAGAGTTATTGGTGATATGTCTACATCTTCTGTGAAATTATTGGTTTTTTTAATCATTGATGACAATTTTTATTCTCTCTTAAGAATGTTATCCTTAACCAATATGCCTAAAATATTTTCTATTTTGACTTGTTATTTTTATCATTCCTATTAAGTATATGTTTTGCTTTTGTATATTAATACAGTACATATCAGGAAACCTCAGACTAAATCTACCACCATTCATAATTGTTATATGATAATCATTTAGAAATCATGCTAATGTTATATAACAATAATGCACGCGTTTTCGTAATTCAAACTATTGAAAGTATGTGTCTCGTAGGTTTAAAAAGTGCCCTGCAGCTCACCAGTATGAAGTTATTCTGTTAAGTGGTACTTGGGAAAGGTGTGACGAAAACTTTTGATATAAGATAAGGAGATGCGGTATGATTCCCAATAAGACAACTATCCAACATAATCAGAATTACGTGTATTTGTAAGCAACAACAAATGCATGTACATATGCATCCGTACGGCCTTCAACAGTTAGCAAAACCCATACCGCATAGTCAAATAGTCCCCGACATGCCAAAATATGAAACATTTCAAACGAAAAACAAATATGACAGACAGCAACTTATGACTATCACCGGATAACCGGCTTCTGACTTGGAACAGACACAGAAAACGTGGTGGGGTTAAACATAAAACGTGTGAATGCTCAGTCCTCCCATTAATCTCTGTTAGTGGTGTAACAGCATGACATCAGTTTGGTATGGTTTGAATCATCAGATTAGTACGAAGCTCAAAACAACTAACATTAAGTTCATTCATCATTTTTAAAAATTGTAAGTGTGGGCAAACAGAAAGTAGCTGTCTGACAGGTCCGAAAAGTGCTCATACGTAACAACTAACCACTGTCAAGCTACCGTCAAGATGAAGTCATTATGTTTAAAAGTATACGTAGTACTTGAGAAAAATGTGACAAAAATAATTATTGAACAAACGGACCAACGGAATACGCTGGACAGACGAACGAAGTGAACCCGTCGAGTGGGGTATACAAATATAAAATATACATTCTCCAAAAGTAACAAATATGTTGTCAATACAAAAAGCAAGAATCATGGTGTTGTCAGTTTCAGGCATCTTTTTTTGTTTGAATCAGAGTGTAATTATTTTACCAAGTATGATTCGTCCCTTCCTCAAACAAGATATTGTAGAGTGCAGCCTATAATGCGATCATCTTGTCCGTCCGTCAGTCTAACAAATATTTCGTCAATCTTTTTTCAGAAAATTTTGAACAGAATAACATCGTATTTGGTCAGCAGTTTGACAGTGATGAGTTGTAACGTGTGATCACTTTTCGGATCTGTCAGATATCTACTTGCTGTTTTCCGAGACTATCATTTACAAGACGAGGAATACTTAACACGACAATGCGTGCATTCTTGTTTGTATCTACGTTAACCACTCCTGTTGATGGAACACATTTGGACTAATTTCATAATCTGTTTTAAGTTTGAAATGATGAATACTTAAGTAAGGAGTAGAAAAGTCAAATATTTTATATCATTATACCTCAGTGTATATTTTCTTTATATATAAACGAGTTAATTAACTTTTTTGCAAGAAATTGTCTGAAAAGGACTATTTACCGGTTTATTAGTCCCCTACCGACGAAGTCGAAGCGGACTTTAGGTTTGCACTCTGTCTGTCTGTCTGTCCCTCCGTCAGTCCGGCAAATCAGTTTTCCACACTTTTTTCGTTGTGCTTGATGATATTGATTTGATTATTTGGTGCATTGTTTTAGTTTTATCATGACAAGTTACAGATCAAGTTCGAATTTTGTTCCGGTCTGACGATTTTGTGCAAAGTTATGGTCCTTGAACTTAGAAAATTCACTCAAATAATCAATTTTCCACATTTTTTTTCGTCATGCTTGAAGATATTGACTTGATATTTGTTATATACATGTAGTTTACACCATGACAAGTTATGGATCAAGTTAGCTTTTTGTTCCAGTACAATGAATTTTTAACCGGTAGGGGACTATGTATTGCCAGGCAATACTCACAGAATGCTTGTTGTTTTAAAACTATATTTACTGGGTATGAATTATTTACTGGAAGCCTTCCTTATATGATTATTTACCGGTTAAAAGTTTCAAAAACTATTTACTGGGTATGAACTACTTACTGGAAGCAAACATTTTCCCGTGCTGTCGGTGTAATAAGTATAGAATTATTACATGGCATTTTTCATATCACACCCTTTATCGGCCCTCGGTCATGACATCGAGCCGCGCAGGCTCGAGGGATGATATCATGACCGAGGGCCGATAAAGGGTATGATATGAAAAATGCCATGTAATAATAAAAACACTTATCTACTAGCAATGAGGACAATAGCAACTTTGTTGTCCCCGAGACACAAACTCTTTCCCGACGCGAATATTTTATTGCACATGGAGAGGAACTTTGATTGTTTGTATTCTAGCGGCCCTTTTCTTTAGTATCCAAACCTGATTGACTCCTCTCGATGACTCAGTAGCTTCACAATAACGCTTTGCCTTTTTTGAATTCTGGTAAAGTTAGAAAATATTCTACTATCATACAGGGCCAACACATTTTAGTGATATGTCTGTATTTTAAGGCTTTCTCTGAGAGAAATATGACCCAAAACATTTTCACTGTTTGCGGTCGGTCTATTAGTGCTCTAAATACCGAAAGTAATGACCGTTAGCTTCTGGTAATTTGTTTCATCACTTTATTTCCGGTCGTCTGCAAAATACTATTACTTACTTGAAGTCTATTTCTCCATCCTCGTTTACATCCAACCTTTCTATCAGTTGATCTATTTGAAAATCTGTTACTGGTATACCAGCGCTCTGAAAGATTCGTGATAAAGTTAAAAACTAAAATAACATTTACGCTACCAATTATACTGCACCTGATGCACATTTTAATGTGAATACAATAATGCTCGAGGCCAAAATATCTGAAAAGACGCTACCACTTACAAACATTGAAGAACTGACAGAACCAAAAAAGATCCAAAGTATAGCCAAACCTGGACAAAGAATCAGAGATTTGCATGAGGGAAATAATTCTTTAATCTAAAAGGATTTCCATGAAAAAATATCCGTATTGTCATCAGTACTGAAGTACTTGCTAATGGACTGGTTATACCCTCGGGGACTAATAGTCCAACAGCAGAGGTATCGACCAAATGGAAGTAAAAACATAAACAGTATCATTTTTACTGTACCAGATGCGCATTTTGACAATTAATGTCCCGTCATTTGATGCTGGAGTTATTACAAGATTTGATTCCGAATTTTGCATATTTTGTTTTGCCACCTTTTTGTCTTTGAAAGCACACAGAAAGAATTTTAACTAAAATGGAGGGCTATGCCAGTTTATTCATCCAAAAAGTACATATTTTTTATCTTTTCGTATCTTATTTTTCGCAAGTTATAATTAACTAGAATGTATAAAATTTCATGCGAAGAATTTGACTAGCTCACATAAAAATTTGCACATTTAACCCACAAATTGATTTGCACATTTAACCCACCAATTGATTTGTACATTTATCCCACCAATTGATTTGTACATTTTTTGTCTTCAAATTTTGACAGAATCTTACCTTTAATCCAGTGCGAAATTCGTCTTCACTTATCGATAGATTTTTGTCTGTATCAAGCCGATAAAATAAATCGACCCATCTTAACTTCTTTTGGTGAACAAAATCCATTAATTGCATGAAAGGATCGTTCAAGAGATTTTCTTCCCTTTGTTTTATTGCAAATTTGAATATGTCATTTTGGTTTCTAAAACCACCATGTTTGCATCGAAACCTTGGTTTCAATTCTAATAACTCCTCCAATAATGTAGAAAATGCACTCGATACTGATATGTCCTGTAAATAATAAAAGTATATTCGTATCATATATTTTCAACTAAAAAATTCTGATGCTTTTTTTTTTAGAAGAAATGCTTTTTTAAAATAAAACCTAAGTACCATAACTTGATTTCGGTAAAAAATGTTCGTTCCTTATCTTTCATAGAAAAATGAATTGTAGGATTTCTTGTTTGTGTGGTCAAGTTCTTATGCATGGCCTTATAGTGTTTAATCATGCTAGGGCAACTGTTGAAATGTAATCTTACAAGTAGACTTTTAAATGAGTCGAATATTTATATTAACACAAAATTGAAAAGAAAAACATATCTAGATTTTAAACTGGTACAGCAAACTCCACAACAACGCGGAATCTTCTGAAAATTCTGGATTTTAATACGTTACTTGGAGCGTGCATTGTTTTACCCCGTCTTGAAATTGTTAACTATAAATAGAAAGTAAAATCACAAAAATACTGAACCCCGAGGAAAATTCAAAAAGGAAAGTCCCTAATCAAATGGCAAAATGAAAAGCTCAAACACATCAAACGAATGGATTACAACTGTCATATTCCTGACTTGGTACAGGTATTTTCTTATGTAGAAAATGGTGGATTGAACCTGGTTTTATAGCTAGCTAAACCTCTCTCTTGTATGACAGTCGCATCAAATTCCATTATATTGACAACAATGCGTGAACAAAACAAACAGACACAAGGTAAAAATGTCAAAAATAGGGGTACAGCAGTCAACATTGTGTCGGTTATCATCTTAATCACTATGAAAACAAACAAATGTAACAAAGAAGCACAAAAAGGCATACATCAAATTTAACATCCTCATTTTGCTTTTTTATTATACGATTTTATTTATCTATGTAAAATCCACCCATAAAGGATGGAAGGTTTTTTAAGTACTGGCGTAGAATCGCGCGTTTGACGTCACACAGGTAGATATAAAACAATTTTGTCGTTCAAAGTATGACGGGATACATAAGTACAGAGTCACGTCAAATGGATATCACAAAAACAGACTTAACAGTAAAAGTAATAATAATAAAGACAAATAAAAGAATACTATATCACGTTATTAAGATGATAAACAACGTCAGTACGCAGAATCTATAATTCAAGACCATCGTGTATTATTTGTGAAGTTGATACGGAATAAGATAAGATATTTTATTTCCAATTATGGGCCCCAAAGGGCATAAACATTACAACATCAATAATTTTTCATAATACAATACAAACAATGAGATAAAAAAAAAAGTTTAACGAGAACTATTTAAGTTCTTAAAGAAAACGTAGATAAAGAATCTATAGTATGTTTGTTTTTAATACTTATGCATTTTATTGCAAGTGTGGTTGATATAGATAACAAACAAGCAGCCCAAAAAGAAAAAAGAAAAATAGATATCCATTTATGTATAGTACACAAAAAGTTGGATCAATTAAACATATAATAATTAGCCAAAAAGAAAGTAGAAATTAAGCATGTCCATGACTCATCCTGTGTCAGCAGCAAATAGGAAAGTATTATGGTTTCCTAAAGGCAGCTGACACCAGGGGGCGATACCTTATGGGCCATACGCATGTAAAATGTGTGTAAATGTCTCTTTCCTACCTGTATCAAAAGCAAACAAGGAAGCATCATAGGTAACTTGAATGCAGTTGATACCAGGGGACGATGCCTCAAGGATATAAGAGAACATTTGAATAAATAATATATTCTAACAATTATTTTTTTTTTTAATCGGCTAGTATGTTTGTGATATTCAGATGAATATAATTTTCTATGTTCAATCAAATGTATATACACACATAGATTTCCTTTAACTTATCTTCACTAAGGAAGATGTTTGTATATAAAATTACATATTATTTTAAGTAACTCAACATTTTCTACACTAAATAACCAGATAATTTTGCTTTGACTGCTCATATGATTAAAATAAGAATTATATTTTGCAATACTAGCTAACATACAATTTCTATCATCCTCAAATTTGTTACAATCAAATAGAAAATGAGCCTCATCTTCGACAGTATTGGAAGAACATTTATTACATATTCGGTTAATTCGGGGAATACCCTGATATCTACTGAATATTTATCAACAAGGTCTTGGTACCTTCCGATGAACTTTTTTTAGAAAAAGGACGAGACGTTCTTTGACATACCCCTGGTTCATCAACTTTCTGCTCAGACACTGGTGACGTTTTACAAAGTCTGAGTAGGAGCTGCAAGTTCTTGAATACCGAATAAGTTTGGAAATGTATATCCCATATGCAGGTGAAGTTGGTATATTGCTACTAAGGTGGGGGAAATTGATAATTTCAAAATTAAAATCGTCTCGTTTGTCATAGATTCTGGTACTGAGATGACTGTGTGTGTCAAATTCGAGGTATAAGTCTACAAATGAGGCGGAGGAAGCCGTGTCTGTTGTTTCTTTAATTTCTAGTTCTGGGGGATATATTAATGGAACCCAATCAGAAAAGTTCGGATTGTTAATGGAAAGAACATCATCAATATATGTGAAAGTGAAATTAAATAACCTGGATTCTTTGATCTTCTTGTTTTTAACAAGTGTCTGAAGGAACCCCGATTCATATGAAAATAAGAAGAGGTCGACAAGGAGAGGCACACAGTTCGTTCCCATAGGAATGCCGACAATTTGTTGAAAATAAAATTTTCGGCATTAAAATAAAATAGTTTATTGTGTCAACGTATATTTATTCAGTCTTACAGAAGTTCTCTGGAAACTTTGATAGAAAAAAACAATGACATGATATCTGTTACTATTGGAATATTTTATTCCCTTTATTCCGCAGGAATGTTTGTCCCAGTGGAAATAATATTATAGAATATTTTCTTCTATTATGAAGGATATTCTATTTCATGACAATTGGGATCATAGAGTTATCGCGCTTTGACTTTATTTCTATTTATGGCGAATTTAAAAAAAAATCAAGAATAGAGAAATTTTAGAACCAGTTCGTTCTTCTATTAATGAAATATGTATTATAATTCAAAATTCAGAAATTCGTTCCCCCCTAATATTTGCATTTCGGCTTTTTCAATTGTCCTTGCGTTAATTCTTTATTTTGTAATTGGTCATTTATAGCCATTACGACCACATTGTTTTAGTATTATAATTCTGACCTTAATTTCTAAAATCTGTAATCCACATTCTGGATGTTCTTTGAGAATACCAATAGCTAAGCATACACCTTCCGCAGTAATAGGGTTTTTTGACAACTGAAATCATACATATGCTTATTTAATTAATACAGTACACACTCTGTCAATTTATAAGTCAATTCTGTATCATACCATGATTTGAGTTTTAATATAAATTAATAAAATCTGATTATAGATAAATAATTGGTTTTTTAACTAACAAAAATTGTTGAAACCATAAAGATTATGCATAGAAAACAAAATGGTATTATATGGTTGAGATTCTGAGAATGATTCCGTAAATTCTAATAAAAGGTTTAGGGGAATTTGCGGATACCAAATTGGTACAACCAGAAAGAGCGATGACAAAGTCCACGATTTGCTAAGGGAAACCCACACTAAATTAAATAGGAGATGCATTAAGAAATAATAAAGTCAAGATTCTGTGAATTTTTTAAAAATTCAGATTAGGGTTCATAAGAAGAATCGGATACAAATGTGAACTGTCGTGAACGGATATGATAAAGTCCGTGCCATGCAAAAGTTACCCCCGCTTCTGATATAAAAATTCGTATGGTATAATATTTGGTACTGAATTGATTTATTTATCATAAAACCAATTTTAGTAACAAGTTTAACTGATATAGGGCAAACATTCTTCTACTAAAAATCGGATTATAATAAAAATGTAAAGACTTCAGCAAGATTAAATAACAACCAACTTGTTTCACTTACCTTCAATTCGATTAAAGATTTGTTATGCCCAATACTTTTCATAAGTTTTCCTATGCCAATCTGACCGATTCTGTTGGAACTAAGATCCAGGTGAAGCAAGGATTCCAATTCATGTATCCTTTCAGCAATACTTTCTACTCCTTTATCACCAATCCCATTATAAGATAAATCTAACTCTTGTAAAGTAGTGTTATCCTAAAATGTCGAACAAGCAATTAATAACAGATCATCGCTTGATTGTATCAATTCACCACTTAAAAAGATGGACTGGAAACTGTAGAACGATTTTAATATAAACAAGTTTGATTGTTTCGTTCTTTTTCAGTCCATGCTGTGTGGACTAAAGTTAATAGGGAAAATGATAAACCAAATGAATCATACCCAATCGAAGAAACATTAATTGATAAACTCTGTCAAGGTACGCTCGTCGATAAAATTTAGTATGCCAAATACATTGTATGTATAAATGAACCGAAGGAATATAATCAAAATTGAAACTAAACATGAATGCCAAGCCCGTATAGGTTTTTGTCGAATGAAATGAGAACCTTACATTTGACAAAAACTGCAATTCTAAACTGAATTCATTTAACTCATCTATTATGATCAGTGTTTCGGCACTGATCACTGGGTTGAGAATACCCTATAGGACTGACAGCCCTCCCATCCGTGAGTGGCATCCACACAGTTGTTGTGGAACAGAGCAATAAATTGAGAGAATTGAATAAATAGCTGAAAAACATTATATGCAAAAGGAACCTTAATCTCCTGGTAATCTCTTGAACTTGACATGACTTTTTTTGTAATATTACCTATCTTTAATCCATTTGGAAAAACGGTAATATGCCAGGAACGGGACTTTGTTGTAATATTACATATCTTTAATCCACCAGGTAAGACGGTAAAAGGTCAGGAACAGGACTTTGTTGTAATATTACCTATCTTTAATCCACCTGGTAAGACGGTAATATGATAGGGACAAGACTTTGTTGTAGTATTACCTACTAGTATCTTTAATCCACCTGGTAAGACGGTAAAAGGTCAGGGACAGGACTTTGTTGTAATATAACCTATCTTTAATCCACCTGGTAAGACGGTAATATGCCAGGGACAGGACTTTGTAGTAATATAACCTATCTTTAATCCACCTGGTAAGACGGTAATATGCCAGGGACAGGACTTTTATGTAATATAACCTATCTTTAATCCACCTGGTAAGACGGTAATATGCCAGGAACAGGACTTTGTTGTAATATTACCTATCTCAATCCACTTTTATATTGATAATGGATACATGATATTTAGTAACATTGCCTTTAAACTGTTAAAGAATGTAGCTGATCACCGTTGATACGACTGTGATATCATATGATAACACATTGAATAGGTATGTGATATGTTACCTACCTGTGATCATTTATAGAATTGTGATGTAACAGTACTTTTACCTTTAATCCAATAAAGAGACTTTTTATGCCTTGTTGTCTAATGTTATTCCAGCTCAGGTTTAAAACTTGCAGCGTTTCGTTGCTGGCTAAAAAATGAAAACACATATTAAGTGACATTACAATAAACATTATATAATCAAATCAATTTACTTCCTAATTAAAGGGCCCTTAATGACATGTCAATAACCAACAAGACATGTTAAAAGACAAACACATACACATTCATAGGCATTGCATGCATTAAACAATATTATATAGATAAACAATTTTTGAGAGGAGAGATAGCTAGGCGAAAGAGAGATAACTCCACTCTAAATAATGTTAGCAAAATCTGTAGTTAAGTATCTAGTAAAATGTTCCTTGGTGCTGCATATAGAGGACATTCCAATACAAAATGGAGCTCGTCCTCAATCGTCTTCAAATTGCAATATTGACAAAGTCTTTCGTATCTTGGAATATATTGTAGTCCATATAAGAACTGACAGAAGGATATATCAAATACATATGCTAATCAGAATTCCCCTTCTTCTCCTAGTAGTCATGGAAATATGATAGTCAAAGGCTCAACCATAGACAGGTGATCTTGTTTTATCAAAGGTTCATACTGATAACTTGTTAAAAATGCTATTCAATATATAATTTGTATACTCAGAAATTATTGCGATGTTGTTATTATTGCGAAAAATGCGACAGGGTTATAATCGCAATAATTTAAACTCGCATTTTAAATTTTTTTATATGAGTTAAACAGGATTTTTCTCAATATCGCAAAAATTAAAATCGCATTTTAGTTTAAAATGACAAAATCGCAATAATAAATGCACGCAATAATTTCTGAATTTACAGCTTCTCGTGTTTTGGACAAAGCCACCTTATTTGAAACATCCTAAATACAATTTCGAATATCTCTGTTTGTTCATCTATTAATATGGTTTAATATGTTATACCAAGCAGACCTTTGTTCATTAGAAGAAATAACATAACTCTTCCCAATCTAATGTGACATAAAAAAATGTTTGAAATCTTCGAAGAGTCTCCTTACACAAAACCTTGTTTACTTTATTCCTGAATATAATAGGAACGTATATGGAATATAGGTATTTGTACCTTACCAATATAAACGGTTGTAAACCTGCTACTCATTAGTAGATATGATTAAATAATTTATGATTGCTTTATATGGAGTCGGTGCAAAATAGCTTAATCCCGTGGTGATCTGTTATAGTGGGGAGAGGGGATAATATTATTTAACCAAACTTTCGATTCGCACTTCAACCTAAGCCGTTGACACAATTATTCTCCCATTTTGTGTTCATATAAACTTTTGTAATAACCTCTTGCAGTAATTTAAACAAGTTTACGACCAACTTAAAAGCAACGGTTAAATTTAAAAACAATATTTTGATTTAACAGAAATTCAAAAAAGCCTGTTCCTCAAAATTGTCTGTACACTTACCTAAAGCTTTTCCCAAGATAATACCGCCCTGGTCACTCAGCTGATTGTGGCTCAAATCTAAGGTTTTCAGACCAGATTTCTAATATAGAAAAATATTGACAAGAAACAATAACGTGTATAAGAAACAATTCTGAAAATGTCTAAAGCAGTGAGATTATTGGACATTAATAAATTTAAAGAAAACTGTTTAGTTCAACTAAGCTTTTCTCTGGAAATTGGTCTGTTGTAAGAAGGAAAAATAAACATCTGCTTTTAGAACTAAGTCATGTAATACATGATGGTGTATAACTGAAACCCAGTAAGTATTATCAGAGATTGCATTTGCTGTTGTTGGCTAATTACATTTGTATGTCTTTTCTGAAACAAATTTTTGGCAGATTTTGAGAAATGACAACTTAAATCAATCATAAAGTCTGGTAAAATTTCAGCAGAAACCAAAACTTCACTTTTTCAATCGTATCCTTTAACTTTCGATTCCAGATAGGGACCAAATCTTGTCATTGCTCAAAGGGTCGTAGGTTGGGATTTTTTCCCCCCAAATTCGTATCATCTAAAATCACTTTGTAAATTACATCCAATCTTAATCACAAACAAAAGATAATGTTAAGAAAAATATTCATTTTTTATCGTTCTAGTATTCATTGAATATACCATATCAGATTATGCTGGGATAGGATGGGAACATCTACGCGAACTTTTCTAAACGAAGTTACATAAGAAATTTACTGCAGTTTTTAAACACTCTCAACCATCAAATTCCCTTTTTTTCAATCTGACAGCAGCAGTAAATATAAGGAAATATATTGAGTGAGCCAAACTGTTCCTTGGAACCTCTGATTCTGATTAGAACAAATTGTATTAAAACACATTATTGGGTCACTTAGATGAATCACTTTTTAGCAAAGTTCGTAGTTTACTACCAGTTGTATTATTCACAAGATAACTTGTCATTACAGAATTTTCAAACGTTCCGATTATGTTTTTATACATACGTAGTTGGATAAAATGGTCCCAAAATAACAAGCATCATATTCGTTGAATCCATTGCCTATAAAACAAATTGAAATTATTTAAAGCGTACTAATCAATATTTTTCTTTCCTTAACGGTGATGTTCTCTTGGTCCCTTTTCCGCTGTGTATATTTCCCAACACGTCCTATATTAGCTATGCTCGTGCCTGTAGTGATTTATTTTTATATTCTAAGTTCTTTCATCGATACTCAGATTGGGTTTGAAAGTTTAGATGTAATGTATACAGCTGATAGCAAATCGGATAGCTTACACTAATTTTTACGGTGATGTTATTTATTGAGCTCGTAAATTAAGATACTATACATACAAACTTATTGTTCATAAGAATAAACTCTCTCTTGAAGGTTACATATTAAGCAATGTAAACAAAATCTTTGAATATTATTTTTATCGGTACTAGTAAGAATTTAAGTTTTAAACATTTGATATATAACTAAACAATTTATTATTCCGAGCCCTTTTATAGCATATTGTAAGGTATGGGGTTTGCTCCTTGTTGAAGGCCATACGGTGATCTATAGATGCTCACATCTACGTCATTTAGTCTCTTGAGCATAGTTGTTTCATTGGCAATCTTACCACATCTTCTCAGTATTTTTACATTCCATATATTGAAATCAAAACGATAGTTCTACTACTTATTCCTGAACAGAAAGTGAAATACCAGCACATTTGTATCATTTATTCATTTTGTCCATTACGTTGTTTTTCTTTCTTTTCACTGAATATTTATTTACTAGTATAAAACATCTATACCTGAAACATTAATATTAATTATGTTGGCGTTGTCTTCTAACAAACTTGACAAGAGTTCGGCTCCATATGATCCCAATGCATTTTCCGATATATCCTGAAAGAATACACGACCTTTTTAGTGTATGACTTTAAATAAATTAAAGGGGGAGTTTTTCTCTATATTCAACTTACGTCATCCGTTACAATACATTAGGCTTATAAACAAACGGATTTCAGTTGAAAAGAAACTAGAAATGAGAAAGTATGTTAAACAGATAGCAAACCTGATCATTTACCAGGATGTTATATCGAATGTGCTTATGTAATTGCAGTAGATATTGGTTAACAGTTGCTTCCTTTCTAATGTACAAACTGAATATAAGCTAACATACCACACTGGTAATGGTGTCGTTTTCTTTTAACATATCTGTAATAAGTTTTATTCCAGATCGCCCAATGAAGTTCCCAGAAATGGCAAGTTGAGTGACAGCACTGTCAAACTGTAAAAATAACAAAAAGTAAAACAACAAAAAGACCGAACTTCAAGGAAAATTCAACACGGAAAGTCCCTTATCAAATGGCAAAATCAACAGCTCAAACTCATCAAACAAATGGAAAACAACTGTCATATTCCTGACTTGGTACTTCCTTATGTAGAAAACTGTTTCATTAGCTTTTACTTTTTCTTCCTTATTACAAATTTCAACTGCTTTTATCATTTTCGATACACTCTCCGGTTGATCTGTATAAACGAGTCACTTAGCTGTTTATCAACGGGCTTTGCCATGATGACAGCCTCCACATCAACGAAAGACCATTAAATGTCTGATTTGTTCTTCCCATGTACTTTTAATTATATTTGTTATATAGATAAAATTAATTGCATTAGCATAGATAGAGAACTTGCACGGGAAACTGAAATATTGACAAAACAAAAAAAGCATCGCGTAACTGAAAAAAGATATTTTCAAAATGTGGTACGTTTCTTTAAAAATAGAATTATTTCATTAAAGTGTTATTCTGTATTGGCCTTGGTATAGATCCTCGATCAGCATTATTAGTTTCCAAAACTGGATGTTTTTGTATGAATTCAGCCTCTGTTTTTTTGGGGGAATGAAAGACTGTTGGTAGGTTGGTGGCATAGCAAAACAGTCAAACTGGATTCTTGGTCAAAAGCTGTTGTTTTTATGCTTCGAGCAAAAATTTACCGGCCTTCGGATCAAACAAAACAGCCGTTGACCTCCTTCGAAGATTTGATGCAAGTGTTTTCAAACGTACACAGATCGTGGTACTTTTCAAACTCAAGGCATCAGAATTTAAGACCATATTCCGAAACGAACGTGACTTTGTATTTATACATCCAGCAAAACCAATTATATGATCATTGCTTTTTACGAGAAAAGTCATATTTCTGTTCCTAAGATAACCAATTTGATGTGTTATCTTAACTACAAAAATTTAAAGAATAAAAGGAATAAAATGGATTCACATAAAAATCATTAAGATGTCATGGTCCAAGGGAGGTAAAATTTTCTCCTTTCATGTTTGCTGTTATGAGAAGTAATATAAACTCGCAAATCAATATTGAGTGCAATAAACTTACAACTAAACTCAAAGCTACTGCTTTAGCACCCAGTGGACCAAATCCTTGGTTGTTGACATTAACTTTGCCTTTTTTTAGACCTCTGAGAAAACTTGAAGAAGTTATAATGCCATACTTCTTGCAAGCTTTTTCATACACCACTACAGATTTCTCTTTCTCTGGGATAGCTTCTCGATGTGGAAATTCTGAATAATAAATACGCAAAATTAATTTAATATAAAGATATAAGAATATGTGGTATGAGTGCCAATGAGACAACTATCCATCCAAGTCACAATTTGTAAAAGTAAACCATCATAGTATAGGTCAAAGTACGGTCTTCAACACGGAGCCTTGACTCACACCGAACAGCAAGCTATAAAGGGCTCCAAAAATGACTAATGTAAAACCATTCAAAATTCAAAATGGAAAACCAACGATCTAATCTATATAAAAAACGAGAAACGAGAAACACTTATGAACCACATCAAGAAACGACAACCACTGAACATCAGGTTCCTGACTTAGGACAGGAGCAAACAAATGCAGCGGGTTTAAACGTTTTATTAGGCGCCAACCTTCACCCTACCTGAAACAATAGTGTAACATCACAACATAGAAAGACACACTATAACATGCTCATTGCTTAACGTTTATGTGGTGACTTTATAACATTTAATATATTTTGCCGTAATTATACATGTGTTTCACTTGTTTAACTGGTCTTAAATGAGTGCATTTTTGTTTTGCATTTGAACTTTATATTTGTTCGGTCTGTTTTCAGTATTCCGTGTTATACTTTTACGTTTGCATTTGGTCTTTACTGATTGTCTTTCATGTCTATATCAGGTGCCCAAAATCTGGTTTGTTTTGAAGGAGATTTTTAAGTGTCACATTTGCTTCAATTCTCCTGTTATTTTGAAATGATATGTTCTATAAATAATTTATGAATAATCAGGACGAGAACATATCAACAATAAATCCAGAAGTTTGGTTTTGCAAAATTGATCGATCAAGATGATGGGAGGATAATTTGGACTGCCAATGGGAAACGAGCGCTTGCTGGATAGGGGCAGAAAAACCAGAGGTAAACTAATGTGTTCTGGATTGGTAAGCAGTTCCTGATCCACTAATGGTACCTATCGTGTTGCTCGTGGCGACTAAAAAACCGGTTATATAATACCATAAACCCTAACACAAATATTTCGTAAGGATTTACCAAATTATGATGGCGTCAGAATTTTTTTTTTAAACTGATGACGCCAATTTTACTATATCGAAACATAAGTCTATCAGCTCTCTTGTAAGCAGCAACTTTCTATCAAGGATATCATGATATGAAACGCAGGTCCTGGAAAATCGGGTCAACTGGGAGATATATATATATACTCCAAATACAGGTGCTTCTAGAATGTTGCAACATTAAAATGAAAAATTTGTAAGGTGATTTTTTTTTATATTTATTATGTCGTAAAATTAAGTTTTGAAACAATGCGTAATGTCAATTTCTAGATGAAAGTCAAGATATTAAATCAAATTGGATAGATGCAATCAACATAGACTCCAAACTTTGATTTTTTCATTGACATACTGTGACATCATCTATATAGAGAAACCTAAAGTTAAAAGTTTATGATAACTTCTCTTCAGTTTTGTTGAGAAGCCGCTGTATAAATTCTGTTTTAAATGAACAAAGGAGCAAGTAGATGAGCAAAGAAGAACCGTTTGTTCTCATTGGAATACCAACTGTCTGTTGAAAAACACACTGACCAAACATAACAAACCTATTGTCAATAAAAAAAAATCGAATATCTTAATGTTGTCAGTTTCAGGGAATTTTTTATTTTAATCAGCGTGATTTTTACAAAATATGATTTGTCCCTTCCTAAAACAAGACATTTTTAATACGTTAGCCTTTATATAATGAAACAAAGTTGTACACATTAATTCAATCTGTATATCAAGCTTTGAATGAGGAATACATGTGTAATCAAAAGAAAATTCAAACATTTATAACTATCTTCATCTTATATACACTGAATCCTTGTTATACATTTTATCTTTCTTTCTCTCCTTTTTTTCTTGGTCAAACATTTAGTGCTTCAATGGAAGCTACGCCACTGATTAAACATAAAGATATAACCTACTGTATCCTTCATTGTCTATTTCTCTCGCAACAGATCCTATCACGTTACATGTTATACAATAGTTCACAAAACATTATCAAAATTTGCAATAAAAGTTTGAGTTATTTCTTTAAATATACAATTTATGAGAGATAATTAAAATTTTAAAATTTATTTTGAGGTTTTTTGAATACATTATATTGCAATATTCTACTTCTTTTGAAACCCTAAACGCTTTATAAACAATAAATCTACACGTAGTCCATAAACTAACGTTATATAGGCACGTGTCCCATGGACGCATATTTAACAGCCTGAGCTAGTTGTTAATGGACGTATTTTAGATGTACTTGCATGGAATAAAGTAACATCAAATTGAAATAGCATATTCAATCTTTTGTAAGAGGTTAACCCCTATGACCATGGGAAGTTTAAATGAACTTGAGATAAAGTTCGATTGGATATTGTTACAAACAGCCACTATACTGGCCTGGTATAAGTTGAATAGTGTAATAAATCTTTCAAAATATTATTTTCTAATACACATAGTTCCCCTTTTTCTTTTTGGAAATCTTTAAAATGGGATTGTTCCAAAGAGATTTATTTCACATTTTCATGCCGGGGTCTTTTAAAGCTTACTTTTTACGTAAAGAGTTTTCCTCATTGTTGAAGGCCATACAAGGCCATACAGAGCCATATAGTACTTTACATCCTCGTCGTTTAGTCTCTGGTATATATTTGTCTCATTGACAACAATACCACATCTCCTTATTTTTATAATTAAAAGAACAGAAAGATAAGTTGAAGAACACTCGCACGAAGAAGAGATGAAATGGATTTTGACGTTTTTTTGTGTTAATTTTGTAGCCATAATAATAATAAGAACCTTCAAGTGTTCAAAAGAGACCTTAAGGTGAAATGTGGAAATGATATGATTGTCCGATATTTGACTCTCTGTGCAGCGCACGGCCTTGAATGTAGTAGAATTGATATTTTCATTCTTTAGAACTTCCGTGTAGTATTTACGTCCTACCACTACCACAATGTTGTCTGCTTTGTCGGACGGTAATAACACACGCGTAGCAAGTTTTCGAAGTTACTTCTAATCCTAGAAATGAGCGTATTATCAACCCTATCATTAATTACTAATTTATTTTCCAAACGTGATAAGCGAATATTCACAACATTCATCCATTTAGTCAAATAAGAATCAAGTGATTTTTAAGGGATTTCTCCCGTTAACACCAATTTCAAGCAATAGGATGAACGAGCATCTTTAATGAACTGATGACACACTTTTAAATTTAGTTTCGATGGAAGACAATATTTTTGTTCTTTTTTATAATGTTTTATATAACTTCTCGATCTTGAACGAGGTTGCCGTTCCCTGTAATAACATGACCACAGGGATCATATCTTAACCTGGGTGTTTCACAGTTCCGTGCTGAAGGAGAACTATTTTTTATACTGATGTAACTGACGAGTAATAAAAAAATCAAACTTCTATAGGTTTTTTGACACGAATACGAAATAATAGGTGAGCGATGTCTCTATGTTATCAAAATGCACCGGATTCGGTCCGAACTGTTTTACAGATCCTTTTGGAGTTCATATGTTTTAGATTGTTATCTTGATTTGTCTTCTCAATCGATTTATGAGGTTAGACAATCGGTAAACGTCTGTTACTTTAATTTAATGCATGTCGTATTATGATAAGTATATGCATTAAAATTTGTAAAGTGTCGATTATCAATCGCATTCATTTTCTATTTCTATACACAACGTACCTAGTAAGCATTCAAGATAGATCTATATAAAAGATGTTTATAGATATCTTACAGCCATTATAGTATTTCATTTACGAATACATTGACTATCTGCAAAGGTATTACACTGATAAACATAATAATTAGATTGCATAATAAAATTAACTGCATAGATGACACATGGTATAATTTATTAAAAGACATATTAATGGGTGCTGGCTATTCTATGAATTGTTAATAAACTGTTTTTTTTTATACGAACTTTGTACTTCAGAAGCGTTCATAGCTTTTTTTATAACCCATCTGCTAGACCGCATTATCTAGCGACGAATAAAATAAACATGATATATGTTTTAATGTTAAACTTAAGTTCCACATAGTTAGAAACATATGTACAATCAACAAAGTCAAGTTTCAATCAGAATCATATTCAAAGGGTTTCCATCAATAAACATAATTCGAACAGAAATATTATTTGTAGCGACTATAAGAAATAATAGATGGTTTTGTTAACGCTACACCTATAACGGGCAAAGACATCACAAATACTGTCATAATTCTGAGCCCGACAATCTCACGTAATCTCACAGATTTAGACGATCACAGGACAATAAGTCACTACGATGTGTTCTATACTAGTAAGTGGTACAGAGACAGCCACCTATTTACGAAACAGACACTCCGTAACTTAACCGTCAAACTTGTGATATACCAAATTTGTATTTATCATGAGTAACACGACGAGTGCCACTAATGGAGCAGGATTTTCTTACACTTCCAGGGTACCTCTGGAGTCAACCCATATTTTAGTTTCCTGTGTAGTTTTTGTGAACATGTTTGTATTTTCGTTGTTATCCAGGTTGTTCCATGGCGTTGTCAGTTTCTCTCGACTTATGATTTTGAATGTCCCCTTGGTCTCTCCGTTTTTTTAATTACTTTTGGGGATCATAAACTTTACTTCTAAGTAAGACATAGATATTGCGAACTTACTGTCTTCTTCCAGATCAGTATCCCAATCCTCGTCTTCATCGTGGACATCCGTATCAATATCCGATTCCTTACACTGACTGCTGGCTTCTGATGGAGGTGGTGTTTGTGTTACTTCCGGTTCTGTTGTCATGACAGCTATTTACAACTCGATTTTTGTATATTGTCAAATACGAAGTTCCATTCACATTTTGTAAATTCAGTTTTCCTTAAGATTTTACAGCTTGTAGACTTGTATACATTTGTAGTTACCTATATTTTAAATAAAGTATTCAAAATAAATAAATTCAGTTCTGACTAATATATTATAACTAATGTATAAAATGTCTCCTGCCTTTCTGGTCTATTTTTTATCTAATTATAAAGAAAACAATAAACTTTTCATATAGAAACCAAGACAATAAACTTTAAATTTAGAAACTCAATACGTTTGCTGATTTTGAACGTATGTCCGAGTTTTCTATTTTCGTAACTTTCAGATCAATTGAAGGAATCAGTCTTTATTTTGGTATAATGAAGAAATGACCATGTTAAGCACTTATTTGTTGAGCCTTCAAATTGTACAATCTCATACACTGACTTTTTCATGTACTTTTTGCTTTATCATAAATAATTGAAAATAAATGAGTATCAAAATAAATGATATTTCTACAATAGAAAAATATTGTTTGAACAAAATTTATGCAAACAGTGTTCAAGACCAAAGTATACGATTTAAAATACAAATGTATAAAGAATGATCAATATGGATATTGGTATCTAATAAATTATTTACGTAACCAATTACAGGAAATTAATGTCAATTGATCTGTCAAACTAAGTGTTGCGTAATACAGGTAAACTCAGAAACATGTAACCCCGAAATATGGACCGTGTACAAAATACAGATATTTTGTCTATCAGTAGATGCAACACATTGAGAGGGAATAGTTTTAAAATCACACAGAAGCCAGTTGTCCTTCTTCGGTGTATTTCCTAGAAGGTAGAGACATATAATATCATATGTCTCTGTCTCAAGTAAAGGTGTCGAAGGTTAGATCCACGGACTGGTCAAACCAATGCTTAATAAAATGTATGTGTTGCTTCTCAACTAAGCAATATGCATTTAGCAAGAGACTCGGAGTCAGAATAAATGCAGTGCTACATTAAAAGATGGCACGAAGTCCGTCTCAACGTATCAGTCTAATAAAAGTATATATGTTCAAATAACACTAACAAAGTATATGTTCCAGTTTATTGAAAGCAAAATTAAATGCTAGAAGATTATAATAAAGTAAAATGTACAAATTTGTCAATTCATTTGATTTTTTGTTTTTCTAATTAAAGCGTCTTACGACACTATAGAAGAAAACTTACCGCTGTTTGTCTCTTAAGTATTTTTCATTGAATTCTTTCTATTACCCAGTACATTTAAGAGAACGAAAGTATAAAATATATTATGCCAAATACACGTTTGTGCATACAAAATGACACGATTTATATGTTTGTAAAAGAAATTTAAACGTCATTTGAATTAAATTATATACCTGATTTTATCTTTTATGAAGAGTCCTATTTTTGAAATTGCATTTAATACCTACAAGTTAGAAAAAAAAGTGTTCTTTGTCTCTTGTGGTAAACTTGCTCCTCCGAATCTTTTAGTCTTTTCTATCAATAATTGAATCCAAAAGACATTTGTACTTTTCTTGAACTGTCAAGGTATGATTCTTTTGAAATTGATAATCAAATGTTCTCTGTTAAAAAGAAAGTTTAAAATTATTTAATTGAAGTTAATGCAGGTATGATTTGATTTTATTTTCAGCATAACATATTGACCGAAAAAGAAGTACATGAATTAATTTCTTTTCAGTTAAAATGATTGAACAACAAAACTTAGAATTATTTTCATTCTTACATAATAGTATTTTAAATTTGACGATTTGCTGGTTGCCTATGAACCTAAACCTACTATCATACCTTTTATAAGTGTTCCCAGTTGCAATTAACATAACACAGGTGTATACGATTATTATTCTACGCACCATACTGAAATAAGCTTTCGAGAGAAATTTTAACTTTGTACTGTTACTCTATGCAATTTTGGAATGAAATTTCATACTTTTATTATGGGGACTATTATGTTTAGAAAGTTTTGAATAGTAATCTTTTGTATCAAAATCTTTAAATTCAACACAAATGAAAATGAATTTCGAATTCCAATGTTTAAGTCTGTAAAATGTCCGTGTTAAAAGTTTGAACTCAATAAAATCTTAATATTTATGAATATTTATACAATGCCTTTAACGGACATTACAAAAGCTTTAAACCCTCTTCAAAAGAAAATACACAGGTGAAAGTCGACCAGTATAATATATCACTTAAAATAAAGAAAACCTAGTACTTTGTTCAGTTTGTGCTTAATTTACTCTCTAAATAAACTTAAACTACAAAGAAGGTAAATTTTTACAATTAAGGCTCCTTAGTTTTTTGTCACAAGCTTTCATTGTTTTGTAACGTTTGAACATGCTTTCCTTCAACAATGATTGACTGGGTCTGTCGCTTCAAATACCGGTAGAACTCGAATCGTCAAGACTGCATGGTAATACTAATCTGTATGACATTTTTTTTAATTTGCTGAAAATTGCGCCGATTTTTATTAAGTATCTATACTCAATGTGGGGCCCTTTTTCCTGGTCCACTGTAAATTATTAAGCTGTTCACATCTGAAGACTGTAAACTAATATGCCTGATGAAATCATTCAAACAGTCAATCTAGACATCAGTACTCTTGTTATTTGTGTTGCTTTTTGTCTTAAATGGTATACCAAAAATAATTTAAAAAAATATTTTTATGTCAAATAAATTGCACATGCATCGACAAACATTTTCCTTATTTTAAAAAGTAATTAAAATCCCTTTTAAAAAATCAGAACTGTAAATCTTGATTTAAACTTGAATATAGTGAAATATTTACAAAACATTACCTTAAGACGAAACTTTCTGTCTTATGCTCTCCAAATTTTACAATTGTATACATGATAGATAAAAAGTAGCGAATGGGATTTTAACAATTTCTTTATTGAATTTTTGCCTTTAACAAACCGATATGTCAATACATACAGCGAAACGTCCTAAATCCATGTTTAAAATAAAGGTTATAGATTAATTTTTAGATAACTACCCAAAGGATATGTCGCGTACATGACAATAAAAATATCATGTGGAGTTATTCTCTGTAAATTGTTAAAACATCTTTACTTTCATTAAAAGTGTTTAATTCATGTGGTGGTTATGTAGCATATAAAATGTATGTAAATCATTAGTTTTATTGATAAGATTAAATATATTGGCTAGAGGTATAGGGGGAGGCTTGAGATCTCACAAAACATGTTAAACCCCGCCGCATTTTTGCGTCTGTCCCAAGTCAGGAACCTCTGGCCTTTATTAATCTTGTATTTTTTTTTTAATTTTGGTGCATTTATATGTTTCGGAGTTTAGTGTGACGTCCATTTTCGCTGAACTAGTATACGTTATTGTTTAGGGGTCAGCTGAAGCTCGCCTCCGGGTATGGTATTATCTCGCTGTGATGAAGACCCATTGGTGGTCTTGGGCTGTTTCTGCTCTTTGGTCGGGTTGTTGTCTCTTTGACACATTCCCCGTTTCTATTCTCAATTTTATTTCACATATTTGAGTAAATGCCCTTTGAAAATAAGGGTTCAGTTTCTGAAATGATGTGTGTGTAATTTTCAATAAATAACCATTTTAACTGTTATTCAGTTCAAGAATATGCACACACACACAGACACAGTGTATTTGTATACATACTTACCCAGAAGTGACACAATTAAATAAACACTTGTTTGTAATTGATTGATTCAATACCAAAAGTCAGAAAGTTAAGATTGAAAATAAATATATACATTAAAGATATGACATGCACTAACACTGATAAAATTTTCTGGTATTTACTTTCAAAATTGAATGATATAACTCCTGATCCTTTCCTCAATGCACGTCAGTAAGTAAGCATTAAAGATTATAAAAATATATGATAATATGATAAAAAAAATCGTCGGCGTATTTGCTATTTCCAGATTTTCCGTTTAATGCAAACTGTAGTTCAATTCTATAAAATTCTATAAAATGAGAAGAACACTATATAAATTGATACGTCCGAAACACTTCTCTGGATTTACCTTCATGAGGAACTCTTAAACAAACAAACAAAATAGCATAAAGTGTCATTGATTATTATTCATTATTTGATACGAAAAATGCTAATAAGTGGGCTTCCTGGACAGTTAAACTCTCACAAAAGGTCACGTTTAAACACATCTAGGCATGATGAAGCAAGAAGGAGGAAATTACCATTTTCGGTGCTACATGTAAACTTTAATTACGCTCCATCTATACATAGTTTGTAGAGAATTTTCCGTAAAATGACGGAGAAAAACATGAATCCATGCGACACACCTCGGGAGATGAAAATGATGAATTGATCAACTTCAAAATCATATATTCCTTTGTGTGGCTTTCATGGTATGGTAGTTAGTAATTAATAACTGAATCTTTAGTGGTCAGGGTCTGAAAATAGACAATAATTGAAGAAAAAAAAAACTCTTATTGAAGCACAAATAATCATAAAATCAAAGTACATCCTACCGTATATAAATTACCAAATACCGGTTATAACTTATGGAAAGAAATCAATTATATATAAATAGATATCAGAAGATGTGGTATGAGTGCCAATGAGACAACTCTCCATCCAAGTCAAAATTTATAAAAGTAAACCATTATAGGTCACAGTACGGTCTTCAACACGGAGCCTTGGCTCACACCGAAAAGTAAGCTATAAAGGGCCCCAAAAAATTACTAGTGTAAAACCATTCAAACGGGAAAACCAACGGCCAAAATGTAGTTTGGTCAAAAGTTTATCTGCCCTAGTCCAGTACAGAGTAAGTCAGATCGAGCATCTTCTTGCATGACTTTACAATTATAGCAGAGTAAAGACAAATATTACTTCATGATCACAAGCACGGTAGATTCAAGTTTTTTTATTAAAGGTAATTATGGTGACACTCATTCACCTTGAAAAAAACCACATATGTAACAATTAGTATACTTCATGCCATATATTTCACAATACGAGGTAAACGATTTGACCTACTGTGCGACTTACCAATACAAGTGTGTTTATTTACGTAAAACAAAGGTCGAAAATACTACCTGAAACACACAGGCACTTGTCTCTGAAAAAAATTCCTATATACTTTAATATTAAAGTAATAATGAAAAAAAATTTCAGAGACAAGTGTATGTGCCGAAACAGTTAATATAAAATGAGAAGAAATAAGACAGAAGACACCAAAGAAACATACACTAAAGAATCATAAGTAGACAAAATCGGACATTATACATGTTTGATCCGTTACCATGATCGTACAATCAGCAGCAGTAACCGATTTAAGTTTGGATGACGTGGTTTAAACATGCAATTAAAGTATCGACATTCCTATGGGAAGCACTTGTGCTCCTCTCCTTGCCTACTTGTTTCTTTATTCTTATGAAACAGACTTTATACTGGAGCTTCTAAGGAAGAATAAAAAGAAGGTAGCATTATTCTTAAACTCATTGTTCCCGTATATAGAATATGCTTCTCATTAAATACACGTAATGTACAATTAGGTGACTATGTTGCACTCATCTATTGCATCGAACTTGAAGAAAGGATACCACAGATATATATGTAGTAATTCAATCTCATATCTTAACTTACTTCTACTAATTTACAATTTCTTAAATTGGAACTGAGACATACACTCATACAATCGTCACTAGGCTGATGAGTCTTTTGTAGACGAAACGCGCGTATGGATCGTTTTAATTTATTTGCACAAAACGTCATATATATATATATAACGTTTTGTGCGAATAAATTAAAACGATCCATACGCGCGTTTCGTATCCTTTCTTCCAATTCGATGCAGTAGATGTATGAATTTAGGTAAGGGTGAACAAGATTTAAAAATTTCAAGTGCCTCGGGGTTGTAAGTTTTCTGTTCATAAATAAGGTAATTGTACTAAAATACGAATTCAATTACCATAGACAAACCTGTCTTTTCTGACCATTGTCAGTAGATATGTTCTAATGTCTCTTTTTCCCGCTTCCAAAAAAAACATTTGATTTCAAGCCTACTTGTAAAGTTATTCCAGAAACACCCATACTTGAGAACTGATTAAAAAACACAGAGAGGAATTATAACTAAATTTTCTTAAAAGGTATGGCATATATTTTTGGAATAGAACAGAATCAGAATCAACATTTATATTATAATTAGTTAATTAATAAGTACAAAAACATCTTTCAATCGATTTTCCAAGTATGATGAATGATTAGAGTTGTTACTTTAAATAACTATTGGCATCTTTTGAAAATCAAGTGTCAAATATTACATTTATTTAGAAAATAACAATTCAAATCTCTTGTTAAAAACAAAATTAAAATTACAGATTTTATTTTACTATTGAATCAAAACGACGGCAATTCACTTGCCATCTAGTACTTATCTTTGGAAATTGGTTGCTGGTTTACCGGAAGTCTGAAAGAAGATTTTCAAATTTGTATTTTTTGCTGACATTGAACATCAGAAACAAATAAAGATTAACACTCTTCCTTTGAACTCGGATATTGCCGAGGTTGTTAAGTTTCCTTTTATTGTGCACCTACCTTAACCTAGTGTGGTCAAATGTCTACTGTTGGTTTGTCTTCAAGGCCTGTTCTGAAGCATTAGCCGTGATGGTAGTGATAGGTTTGTCTTATCTCTTGACTTAACTGAGAGTATAAATGAAGTACTCTTCATTTGTAGTTGTTATCCATCTCCAGATTTTTTCCTCAGACAAAACGTTTCACTGATTAAAAGACGCTTCCTACCCTGTCTCCTTTAACTTTAAATTATAGGATCATAGCACATGTTGATAGAATACTTGAATGCTAGAATACTCCACGACTGACACGCATGATCATGTATGCATTCAACTGATTTTGACCTGCGTTTGGGGATTCTCATAGGTCTATCCGCTATAATTTAGTTCATGGGATAGTCCTTTCTCTAAATTGGTTCATGATAATATTCGTCCATGTTTAACTAACTCGTTCTATACCTTAAAGGCCCTTTTCTTGTGAATTAACAAGTATTCCTGTGGTTCCTGGTAATGTCATTCCACACTTTGGTAATCTGAATTCAACCCGTCATGATATTGACCAGTTTTCCTGTTGAATGCCTAAAAACTTTCTCATTTCAATAACTTTACATGCATATTTTACTGCAGGTGTAAAAGGTAGATTTAGAAAGGACGTTTTTCTAAAAATGCCCGTTTAAGCTGACATAAAATGGTTGTGATGAACTTGGCTTATTTCTTAACAGTTGTATGTATTATACTTCATTTTGATATGCTAATGATTACTTAAATGGCTAGTATAAAAGCAAAACCACACATTAACAATTAAATTAAATTATTAAATGTCCAAAAAGGCGCAAGCCAGGGCCGACCGTGCAAGGGCTGTATAGCCAGTCAAGGTCGTTAAAAACTTCCATTTGTTGTTGTACAATTAAATTTACGATAGTTTACTAAAACCCTCTATTTATAAGGTTGCGATGTCATTCTGTGAGCCTCTATTTGCTTTGTAATAATATTTTTCTCTGTTTAAGCATATTTAACGTACGTCACTCTGCTTGTGTTACCAACGATAACCAAGTCATGTTAATAGGTATAACATTTTCCAAAAAAGGAAATGCCCGTACCAAGTCAGGAATATGACAGTTGTTTTCCATTCGTTTGATGTGTTTGAGTTTTTGATTTTACCATTTGATAAGGAATTTTCCAGTTTGAATTTTCCTTGCAGTTCGGTATTTTTTTATTTTATTTTATACTATCTAGTGCAATGAAATTGTTAATACATGTTTTTTTTTGGTAGTTGTAAAAAGACCAATGTGATGCGTATAAAATTGACTGTTGACTATTCCAGTACTGTTTAGAAAAAATAAG